GTTATGTCTCGTTTCAAATCTGTCTGTCTCGTCCCGGTTCATAAATAACCGGGACACAAGTTTTAAAGTCCGGGACAGAAGTCTTGTCTCGGTTCATACGTTTATTCCGGGACAAATTTTACCCTCTGTCCCATTATTTTTTTCCCGGAATTTTCTCGTCTCGTTTCGTCTGTCCCGGTTCATTTCGAGAAAATTATTTCGAGACGCAGGAGTCTAATTAAAAGCCATCCTGTAAGCTTACAGATACAGAAAAAATGCTATAGGGCTGCTGATATGCTATAGGGCTGCTTGCAGTGGACAAGGTTGTTGTAAATGCTCAATGGCATGTTCATGGATACAGTAATATCGCATCAATAATACAGCAATCAATGTATATGGTCATATCATATCAATAAAGAAAAAACAAGTAAAAATCACAGAAAATGTCATTTATTCTACCTCTACATCATCTACAATGAAAGAGAAGGACTTCAGAGTACTGTTAGTAATGGATGAGTACACTCTGCATGCTTCAAATGTTTTAAAATGAGGTTTTATTCCAAGTGTCCCAAGTAGCCCCATTTGATGGGACTACTCGGGACACTTTTTTTGCTTCTGGCACCTTACAAATAGCATATAGAATTTTTTGGAGAAGCCATGTGATAGCCCTTGCAAAGAGCTTTGAAGTGAGCCTAAACTTGTTTATGAAATGTTTCATGGAAAGAAGTTATGAATGAAAAACGTTCGAAATCATCCCGAGTTGCCCCGGTTGACGGTAGCCCACAAGAGATGTGAGGAGCAAGTCTCAGCCACATAGCAAATGCACAATGTCACCACCTTCCGCTCCATGAACTTTTACATCTGATTGCTCATTGATTCAATTTAACAACAAAGAAAGATTGTTAAAGAGAAGCATAGCTATTTCATAGCATAGCATTTTTTTAAAAGCCTATAAAACATAAGTAAGCACTCCATGTGCAGCTGCAGGTTGCTTCTAACCTATGAAGCACAAAGTACCCCCATATACAGAGCCACTAGTGCAATTATTTATGGCAATTAGTACTGATCAATTTAGAGTGGCAGAGCCAAGATATCTTGTGTCAACCAAGAGGCCATAAACCTTTTGGGTCAGCCAATTAGGAGTGTTGGCTGTTGGGAGTGGATGGGATTTATAGCCCTTCAAATTTTTTATGAGTAATAGCAATATAATATCATGTACCGGTATATAGTAAAATATTGGAAATGTTGTAAATGGACAAGATGTTGATGTTGGTAATAGTTTATCATTTAAATGTCAAATTAGAGATAAACTACTATATGTACCTCTCCCAGACTGTCAGACACTGTGACTTATATAAAAAAAAAAAATTTAGGAAACCTTAAATCTCCCATTTTATATGGGATATTTTACCTAGTATTTTCCTTAAATTCTCACAGAAAGCTTAATATTCACCCAATTTTTATTACCAAATTGGATAAAGCTTTTAGTCCCATCTGGTTTCACAGAGCAACAAGTAACAAATGCAGGAATCTACTGGTTTGGGCATAAAGATCCCAAGATTAGAAATTCCCCAATTATTACCAAAATCTCATGGCTCCCTATTAACAGTATCCATCAATTTATTTATTGAAGCATGATTATAAGATTATTCACTATTGTAAACAATTTAAAGTAATTCATCTACTGGGATTCTTGCAGATCCAAAAATTGCAATGAAAGCTAGCCTATTTGTGACAATGTGACTTGAGAGGTAGGCTAGGCCTCTAGGTAGATACATGATCATACATCTCACACCTGAAAGAGCAATGAAGATACATTAATACTTCTGTAAAATTGAAAAAATATAAACAATTCATGTAGACTGTAGAGTGTAGAGTTGTTAGTTGTAGACTTTTCTTACCTACTTTGTTGGGCCATGACATACCTACTTTACCTAGCCTATCTGCAATTTGCAAAATAAAAGTTTTTTCTATTCATTAGCCAATTGTTTCAAATTCACAATATAATTTATTCAAAATACTGGAGTTTAGTGGAGTAACTGGATTGATATAAATTCCCAAACAAAAATTTCAAGTTTCCCAAGTACATCATATCACTGGTGTCTGTCTGAAATAAACTTTTCCTAAATTAGTACTCACTTTCAGATCTATTCTATTGTTTGTCAATACTGCATTTTTTATATTTGGTGTAAAAACAGTAATTATTATTGTACACCTTGAGTTGAGTTATTGACTACCTAATTGAGACTCAACTTCACTCAAGTCTGACCCATTGATTATTTTATTTTCATTTTCTTAACGTTATTTTCAAACTTTTAGAATGTAATGCATGCGATATACATATTATAATGTAGTAATAATGGCTGAAGTTATCGGTAGCTGGGTCGCAAGTTTTTGGTGTAATGTTCTATGATTGAACAAGAATGATGAAACGTACAGCGTAATATGGTGTAACAAGGCACAAGCATTCTTACAGGCACTACAAACTACACAAAAAAATAGGTTTCATAATTCCGTCACAATCAGTCTGGAAACATTTTCATCTGTATTTTTATTATGAGCGAACACGTACCGTAAAAATATTGAGCCGTGCGCCCGTGCCGATAGTTAGATCGTTCGTCTTCAGGATTTGTTCAAAATGGCGACACAAGCAGGTTTATTTAATAATAAGACACTCAACAGGAGATATATTATCAAAACTGTCAGAAATTTACTTACTACTTTCTACATATCATATGATGTTTTACTACAATCGATGCTGGCTCAAACAATGACAATAAAATAGATCCAGCCGCAGCAAGCAATAGTATTCACAGATATAGACGATCTGACGATGAGAGGAGCAGCAAATGACTAATGAGATTTAAAACAATCATACCAACACATTGTAATACATCAAGTCGTAAAAATCTAGGATCTGATTATAAAATTTTACCACTAGTCGTAATTTATGAAGCTAAAATCTATCATTCTCACATTTCAGAAGTCAACGTCATTTATATTAAACAAACGAGCATCACTGCCTTATCATTCGATTGTCCATTTGACACTGATTATTCTTGGCGAGGAAATTCCACGCCCAATTTATGCGTATGTTTATCATATAAAAATTTTAACATTTTATTTTTTTGAAAAATGCCTAATATTTTGCCGTGTATATTACTTCCTGCATCGAGACAATAGAGTTTATGCTTTTGGAATTCACAGTTGGTGACGAACATTTCTATAGTAATTATTTATTGCAAACATTTTAATTTGGGATTAACAACTCAAAATTATGATACACAACACTATATTTCTTCTGGTGAGCTCTTCAGCGTCGCGAATATAATATTTATTCACCAACAAGTGCATTTGTATTGCGCACACCCGACGCCCGGGGCTCATCGTCGTCTCGCCCTTTCCATTAGTCTCTTCCCAAAATATCTAAACCACAAACGCATTTATGGGAAATTGTTTTTGTTTGGTTAAAGAGGAAACGAAAATGTAATCATAAATATTTATGAACTTAGCTTATACAGATCACTCACCCCAACATTCTCAGTTATGATGTCACTATACAAGTAAGGCCTCCATCTAATATATTAAATAAGATAATTCTTTAAAATTAATTTACTTTCGCAAATCAAAATTGTATATCACGCATGCTTCTTTGACAAGTAAGTTTAGCCACTGATGGATCTTTTGGATAGATGTTTACCTTCTAGAACTGGCGTTGTGACAGTGTACAGGCAGTGTACAACAGGATTACTATCCAACATCACTGCAATGCGATCGAGTTATTTCTAACCAATAAAATTGGTTCGACAAAAATTAGAAAATGCACGAAATACTTTTTTTTCCCGAAAGTAACTTCCAGTTTATCTAATTCTCTAGTTATTGAACGGTATAATACCTAAAAATAGCGCTGCCCTCTTCTTTCATTTTTGTATCACCAAGATCACCCGAAATCAGTTCTATAATATACAAAGTAAGATTGTCTATGGACAGAATTTTAACAGCGCGATTCAATATTAACCATAGAACAGGTAATGGAAGATTTACTTACAAATTTACGAAACGGTCGCGCTTGATTTCTCTGTGGTTAGGTTAATTCGACTCCAGGATGTCTTAATAATAAAAATTTGACCCTGTTACACGCAGTTTGAGGTTGGGTCCCTGACGCCAAGTCCCACCTTAATGGAAGACGCTGCTTGAGCACATTGAATGAGACATCGTGGGATGTAAGAGGGTTTAGTTTATCGATATTTATATTAAAATGTAGGGGGTAAGGGAACATTCTGGATTTCTCTGCTTCCGTAAATGTGATACTAGGTAAACGGTCATTAGAAAATAATTTCGGATATTCATTTTTTAACCCGATAAGCACACTTTTTACATGAAGACAGTCAGTCTCCAACACAAACATAGATTTGGAACGAATAATAAAATATTACAGATATTTCTTAAGAGTACAATACTGATAAATATTGTAATTGTTAGCAAAATACTGAACAGAAACCTATAATGTCATGTTACCGAGCAGGTACACCGGCTATGGTATTGTTTTCGGCATCATTCATATAATTGATGCGGACGTCGGCAGTCATGCCCTCTTTATAGTCCTTGGCACACTTGAGGTACTCTTCTCCTTGATACTCATAATATATGAAATCCTTAGCATATTTCTGAAGAAGTTTCTGAACCAAGTTTACAGTGAGTTGTTTGAATAATGAACACGCGACTGCACTGGTGGAGGCTCCTTGACTGGAAATGTTATCCCAGCGCGGCTCTATCGCTCCAGTCCGGTTCAGGTACTCGATGAACTGAATGCTCTCATCGTACAGAGTCTCAAATCTGTAACCGAGAAATTATACTTTAAACAAGCGGTAGAAAAATTATGAAAACCGAAACCTTCCAACGTACCATCGGACGAGTCCTTACAACGGACGGATATTCTGAGCGTATGTCCGGTTACTCTGACTGTGGGGTTATGATTCAATAACAAATTCGATCAAGCCACAGGGTTCGTTATAGACTTGTATTAGAATAAAAACTCAACATCAGTGTAAAATATTATTTTCCGAATATGTTTAAATTCAGGTAACGCACCAGTTGATCCAGGTTATATATGGGGCACAAGTGCAGCATGTGAAAGTCAGTGACAAAGTGAGGTAGCGAGCAAGTTTCTGTACCTGAGGATTGCATGGTATTTGATGTAGCAGGCTGCGCAGTGCGTGTAATATGGACGCCAATGTTCGTCGTCTTGACGAGCGTTTATGATGAACTGTACAAACTCTGGGAAAGTCGGCCCTATTGGGTTGGAGTATGGGTTCCCTTTGATGCGAGTTAGGTGATGCTTCAAGACTGCGTTGCGAACTTGCTTCAACATCGCAGCGATCTGTCATAAATTGAGCACTGTTTAAACTAAATTGTGGTTACATTATTAGATATGAGTTTGTAGTCGAAAATATCACAAGGAATCGCAACTGATGTAGGCTGCAGCTGCTTGAAAATGAAGTTCGAAATACAGTAAATAAGGCTTGATTTTGATAGTTATAAATTCGAGTGCTGCTTCTAGACTTGGCCAAGTTTGAACCTCGTCATCGCTGAAGCCCGGCGGCTTGGGACGGTAGAGATGGACCATCTTCTCGCCATACATCTCGTAATAATAATCCTTGAGACCGTCCTGGAACTTGTCCCTGTAGCACGACACGAGCCGCTCGAACGGATGACGCACCACCATGAACTTTATCGTGTCCTTCGTTAACTGACAAAAATAAAATATTTGCAACTGAATTACATTTCAAATGTCAATGAATATGCAGTAGACATTAGGAATCTTAGGAAAAATGCTCAGAATTTTCATTTCAAAGTCAAATTAAAACAACATGAAAATCGAAACATTTCAATTCGAATGATTTTCCGATGAGATGTCATCACTAGCGCGAATATACTCACGGAATAATTCTATAATTTTCTCATTTGCGCAGGTTATGTAAGCTCACCGAGGGACCAGCTATGCCAGAGATCCTAGGAAAGACCTGCCCCAGAAGGTTCTGAATGGCGGCTGCAGGTTGTCGTCTCTTGCTAGGCACCAGCCCGCTGAGCTGCAGCAGGTTGTTGGACCACGAGGTGCTCGCTGCCTTGTACACCGGGCAGAACGTCAGCGAGTTCCTCCTGCAAGTCGCAACTGTCTTTATTCCGCATAGTTTAATATCAGACTAGAGCTGTAAATGTAGTAAAGAATAGCTTGACTCACTAAGGAGACTAAACTGCAATTTCGATTATTGCTAACAATGTTCTTAAGCATAGATTGTAATCGATTAAAGATCCGGTCAAATGACACGATTTTAGATCTTCTGTTAACAAGGCACGAAAAGTAAAAGAATCGGCGACAGGCCACATCAGGCCTACACTTCAGTGCCGACATCACTATGTTATGTTAAAGTATATGTATATGTTAATGCAACATCGTACATGCCGACTGCGTAGATCTTCAACAGAACAAGACATAGGAAACCTGTCGCGACGTCTGTTATATGGTGCGCCAAAAATTCATGCGTTCGGATGTGTTCCGTTGTCATACGCATTAATAATTATGAACGTTCACTCCCAGTGCTGAACTTCGTGCAGGTATAGCCCATATGGATTGTGAAATATGCGAGGCACTTCAAATATAGGTACTTTTGATCATAATATATTGAGAGCACAACGAAGCGTTTGATTAAATACGTATTTTCAGTCCAGCTAATGACAATTTTATTCATTTAATTGCAACTGGAATCTCTAAAATAACTGCAAAGCTCCAGACATCAAGCTAATTGAAACTAACTAGCAAGTAGCAACATTGGACCGGGAGCTTATTCGTCTCACTAGAGCATCATGACGTTGCTCAATTCACGCATTGGTATAAAATCCTCCTTAATATCTCACCTGTCAAAAATCAAGTGTGCGTAGGCATTTATTGCCATGACGGAAGCCTCATACCCAAGAATTTCATGTGGCATTTCTTTACGAGACATTGCGCACTGCCTGCCGATGTGTTCAACTCGTCGGCTCTGCTCTGCCATGAAGCGACCAATCGCCTGCAAACACACACGTCTTCACTGAACAAGGCAAAGCCATTGCTCAAATCGATTGACTTTATTCAACACTAAAACATGATAATAATTGTCAGAAAAATATCTAGATGTATACGTGTTGAAAAAAGTTTAATCATTGTATGTCAAAAGTTTGGTCCAACCCTTGCTAAAAAATAGGTTTGTTGAGTCATGTTGAGATACATAGTTTATCTTTTATGCATTGCCGAACTTCAGATGATGTATATAGTTTGGTGAGCGAACTTTTGGATCATGCATTATTTAAGCCAAAGCGCACGCCGGAACTGCAAGAGGTCGATGCTGTCAGCGAAACTAGTCATTTGCAATGGCGGATTAGGATGGTATTTTGCACTGTTCTTGGGAAACAATATAATGACCTACCTACAAGTAATAACAGCTTTACTCGCTGAAACTTTTTCACAATTTCACAAGTTCACCTCACAAATCTAAATTCTGTACGATTTAACATACATAATAACTTTTACAATGACTTATTTCAATATAACAGCCATGACTAATGCCATCATTGAAGAATGAAGATATGAAATCAATATTGTTTACAAGAAATGAGTCATCATTCATAAATTAAGTATTATTAGAATCAGAATATTTAAACCCCTGTCAAAAGTCAACTCTACACGTGGACATCACACATCAGTCTGCAGAAATTAGGCATTCGGAGGTAAGGCTGACAAAACGCTTTTAACAAATAGCAGTTTTTCGAATTTTTCAAGTAAAAAAATAAAAAAATAATAATTTTTAAATTGCTTTGAAATGGAGAAAGTTTTGATAAATTGTATCAGAGCCCTGTGGAAGGCACGCTTCCGCTAATCCGCTAACGGGCCGCTAATTAACGAAACTTTCCGGTGCCACGCTAATGGCTGACTACGTCAACATATGTACGTAGAGGCTGATGTTCATCAAGGGCAGAGAGGCTGATGTTCATCAAGGGCAGAGAGGCTGATGTTCATCAAGGGCAGAGAGGCTGATGTTCATCAAGGGCAAAAATCATCACCTCGAGGAGATGAAGGATAAGCCAGAGTAAGAGCTGTGTGTAATCTTGCTTTAACTTGTGTGCTTTTATTTCTTTATATTTCTTATTCGTTTAATACTTTCTTATTCGTTAAATAAACTGCATATTGAATGTCAGCTTGATGAATTTAATTTGTTCATTTAATTATTTATGCACATCTTGATCATCATCTGAACTTGACTTGAAACACCTCTTTGGAAAGCTCCCTGTCAATGCTACGACATATTAAAAAGTTCAGCTCTCTACCGTACTTCTGTTTTTCAGAGTTTCAGAGCCCCCCAAAAATTAAGCCAAAGCTAAATTGGGTATAATAAAAATTAGCGGTAAATTCTGCTAAATTGTTCAGTGATTTATCGATTTAGCGTTATAAAAGCTAAATTTTCGGTTAGCTGTGCCCACCAATGTCAGAAATATCGTTAGTTTCATATTGAGGCAAGTAGTGTGCTAATATTACTACACGACATGTTTTACAATTATAATAAAATCATAAAAATTCACCGAATCTGGAGGGAACTTTGCAGCTCGTTCACGCAGCCGTGCAGGCGAGATGACTTCATCAGGATTCTCGTGCCATGGAACGTTACTCGAGGATGCTGGCTTAGGCAGCGCTCCTACCTTAGGTACATCAACAAAATTTGCAGGTGTAGCCTTGTCTTCAATCCTTCGGACAAGATCTAAAGTTTTCTTAGAATACTCAAGTGCAGCTTTCATTTTCAGATCATCACCCGATTCACTTTCATTATCGCCGATGTTATCCGCAAAAAGTGAATTCGGGAAATTTGAGACAATTTTCTGTGATTCATGATCCAAGGTCGAAATGCTGAATTTAGAACTAATCTTCTCAGTACTAACAAATTTCGTCCCGTTATCAGTTCGAAATACGGCGAACTTGATGCTATCGCCCTCAAGATGAGGAGATGGTATGCTCTGCACGGGAGGTTCTTGCACCGGGACAGATTTTGGCAGGTGGACATTCGCCAGGACTTGGTCGCGAGTGTCAACAACAGTGGGAGTGGTAGAGGATGATGAGTTCAAGGGACTTGACACTGCGGCAGCAGGCTGAAGCTGCCAGGTAAGTTTCGACTGTGGAAAAATACTTCGAATTGTGTTGAGGTGTCGAGTCTTGAGTGGGGAAGGATAGAGTACGATCATACCCACCACAACAAACACGCCTAGGCCAGCCAATCGCACCCGCATCCGCATTTTGCTTCGCCGCTGCAGTGAAGGAGAGAATATCATTATTGATTAAGGTCAAGCATGCCTATGATTCACGAGAATATCAAACACTAAAAATAACACGTTTTCGAATTTGGCGAGAGTGAATGAAAGATTCGCGTTTCAAAATATTATTCCCAGCCTCTAATAGATGGAATCGTACTGTTTATACAAATTAAGTGAATTGTCATAGAATGGGATAAATTATGAAGAGTTAGTATAATCTCATTTTTTATCATATTTGGTCACGCAAATCAGCTTTCATTTACCCACATTTATATTTCAAAGAAATCTCTTGCGCAAATCTAACAAATGAATTAAATTACAGTTAGTCCGTCACAACTTGATTTACTTGCTTTTCTAGGTTGCTTGATTGTGTCTTGGCTGCGTCCAGTTCCCAGTGCTGTGATCTTTAATTGGTAGTCGGCAACATGGCGTCAAGCAGTGGTCATATGACTCATATCACTAACATCATGAGTAACATGTGTGGCACCGTGTACAGTTGATTACCCGCACAATTTAGCGACCGCCGTTAAACATTTATGAAAGCAAAATGCTTTTAGCTCGTTCCGTTCTTGAGTTACCACGCTAAATATAAACTTCAGTCAATATAAGACATCAATAACAAACGCCATGGCTAGTTCAACACGGACTGAGCGCACTAAGGTTGTTTCTTACTATATATTTATATAATATTGAGGCACGTATTGTTCATTTTCGTTCCCGAAGATACGATGCTATTATAAGATATAATTTTGTCAAAATATATCTGACTTATGTATACAATCACTGAAAATCAGGCAATATGTCTCATGAATAAACGTTCGTTTGCCATTTTATTGTGTTTCAATTTGTTAAAATCATTTGTAATTTGTTATAATTACATGATGAGGTCTGGGCCTATATTCGTTGAAATCAAGCTAAACTGAGAGACCAATACACTATCCAAATTACGAAGACGATTAACACACCGACAAGTGAAACAGTGAAAGTGAAGAACAGTCAAAAATTGTACTAGGTTACGGAAAGTTTTTGAATGCAGCAGTGGCTCATATTCGTTGTACGCTGCAAACAGTAAACATGCATAACAATTATTTAAAATTCTATGAAAAATGACCTGACAATTATCATATACCATAGCTCTCATTTACATTATTTTCATGAGAACACTCACCATGATTGAAAACTCGCAAAAACTTTATGTCAAACAGCCAAAGTGACACGTTTCAGCATATTAAATAAAGTCGAATAGTGCAAAAAATTTCGTTAACAACACAAAATTCCCAAACAATGTTGATTTAATTATATTCCATGCAATGTGTCCGGAATACAACGCTGCGACACCACCCACCAGGAAGGCTGTTCATCAACTGAGGTGTCAGCTTGTCTGGCGTCTGCCAATGTCTGGAGTGGTTAGGTCTCGCTAGAAGGGAAAGATTGCGAGATGGGATCAGCAGGTCACGGTGTACTGGAAAGTGGAAACTCATCCTCTCGCCTGCCGGCAAGTCTTTCCTCACATTATCAATGTAGTTTTTCTGAATTGATTCATATTTATACTTCAAACCTTTTTCGATAATCCTAAATTATCGTCAATACTCCCTTCTCCTCCTATTGTCAACGTTTCAACATTGTAAATGAAGTTAAAATCAACGACTAGAGTATAACGTTTTACTGCTACATCCAAGATTCACGTGCAGTCACAGACCTTCAATATGAAAATGAATTTTGAGCAGCGAATTTTAATTCTGATTTCACAACCAGCGTTTTTCTTCCTTATCGAGTAATTTAATTAAGGACCATCTCAGTTAATTGTATTTGTCTAATCGTAAAGGATAAGCGAATAAAATATACCACGAACACACGAATATGCCGAAAAAAAATTACTAATGATTAATTATGAATAATGAATATTCATATGAACCATGCCAGCTGCCCCTGCTATGTCATGCTCCAGGGTGATGAAAGGACATAAGAAATTTGCGTGACAGTGAAGTTAAAATTGAATGCCAAACAATGGTGTCATTAGGCTTATTTTAAGGGGTCTTTAGCCCCTTAAATCGGTCTAAGCACTCTAAAAATTTTCAGATTCATTTATTATAATTACTATTTTATAAAAGGTGCCAACAAATTCGATATAATGTGGCCTGAATATATGTTTAAATAAATAAACATACAACCAGTTATTTCTAAATGAATTAAATTATAAACCTAGTGAATACAAAGGTGAAGTATTACGTGAGATTGCAGCACAAAAAATCACGTTAATGGACCTTGCATCGATCACCTTAAAAAGCTGGAAGCAATCAATCCCCATTCCCATATTACATAATAGCTTCTTGCACGGTACAGATAAAACATACTGCCCATTCACTGCACCGTACACATTAGTATCAAAACCTCATCTTCCGGAAGCCTTAAACGGGGGAGGTACTGAGTACTGACCGCCAGTTCATCCGCCGCTTGAACTGTCGACGCTTCTGGCCTCGTGTATAGGGGGTTGACCCGGGGTTCAGCCGCTTCAGAAACATGTGTCGGGCACTGCCGTCATGTGCCCGAGACGCGGCCGAGAGGTACAACGATGTGTTGTTTTCTTCGCTGGAGAAGCGGCCAGTAGCGCTGATTCAGCCATGGTGAGAGCATTTGTGCCGCCCTTGTGAAGTATCTTTGGTCAAGTGGCTTGTTTGAACGATAATGGTTCTAAGAAGAACCCAAAAAAGTGGAGTCCAGACGATATTAAATTGATCTTTGAGATATTCCAAAAATTCTCAATTGCTAATAAATTTCAGGTTAAGGTATGATATGCCTCAACGCTTGCTTTGCGAACGCGTGCTCGAATTGCGCTCATACTTATTTCCGATACCAGGCTTCATTTATGAAAACTGTCACAACCGAACTTTGTGAAAAATATTACAACTTGAATTTTTTACGTGCAAATTATTCTCGCAATTTGGAAATTATTATTATTTTTCAGTTAATTTTTATACAAGAAAATTCGGCATAAGCTATGGTAGCATAAAATTAAATGAATCGCCTGACAACCGATGATGCGACGACTCGCCGCAGGCTCATTCATTCTGAATTATCATTCACTAAGTGAGTAAACTTACTAACTTGCAGGAAGCTAAAACCGAAAACAACTTTTATCTCCATTAACAGCAAAAAATTGACATTAAACACAAATAACGAGACGGTAAATTAAGGAATGTATGAAATTAAGCAATAACAGGCACTAAATGACAAAAATAGTCAGGCTAGGTATGCATCCAGCATCTTCAATCTTCCGCATTGCAAGCACTTGCTGGTTTGCCACTCATCTTGCTAGCTTATGTAACAAAACCAAAATGACGCTTCCGTAGTTCCGTGTTATCGCCATTAACTTGTTCATGAGTTTTCACTCCTACTTTTTTCACAGTGCGTGTCTTCTTGGGCAAAATACAATGTCATGACTACAGTAACTGGAAACTCAATTAAGCACACACCATTGAAATTCGAACGTGATGTTTCTTATGAGTTTTCAATGGAAATATTTCTCGTTTCCAACTTTCCCAAGACAAACTCGGCCTTCACCTGTTCAATGCTCGCGTCGGAGACTCGTCTGGTCATTCTTCTTCCTTGCATTCTTTACCAGAGTTGCTAGGGAACTTTTGTCATACAGAGTGGGGCCATTGAACTTAAAATTTCCTGATAAAACCCCGAGAATCAAATTGCTGCGAATCTCAACAAGCACTATCAGTGAGGTTAACAACATTTAAGAGCCCATTGAGTGTCAACACTTTGCAGTGTCAACAGAGTCCATGCAGTATCAACCGCTAAATTGGTCTTGCATACGCTCCTCCCACTAATCGTCATACGGCTGGCACAACAGTGGGCGAAATATTGTTGTCAAATTACCATGCAGTCTCAAATGTTTTCAGATGTTATACCGACATGTAGCGTAAAGCTTACAACAGATTTTAGCTCATTGTGATTTCAAGGTAAGCAAAACCCTCGGATATTCTTTTCATTGTGCAGTAATGCAGTTACACCTATAACAGTTTACAAATTGCAAGTAAACCCTTTATAGCTGAATGAAAACGTACTCCAAATTCATTGAGTCTTTAGCTGGGCAAGTGATGACGAAAACGAACTTACTTTAGAAGAGCTCACTACTGAGATACAGTATATTATTTAATTGCAACCAATTAATTTTTTTGTACACAGATACTCGATCTATTTACTGATATAGATCAACGACCACAAAAATAATTTCTATTTGCAGAACGTTGCACTGATACGTTATTTTATTTTTGTTTTATAGTCAACCACAAAGAATGATAAAATCCAGCGAATGTCATAGATTCTAATTAATCTAATGTCCAAACTTTCCGTCAGCACCATTTTTTCCTGTTAGCTCTGCATCGTCTCGTACTCTTTTAATTCTGCCTTCCCAGTTCATGGGCGAATTTTCCTGATACTGGAACTTTGAACGTCGAGTGAAGGAAATTTTATTAGACTGGAATTATGAGTACAAACATAGTCGTAATGCATTTAACGAAGAGTCGACGACTTTTCTTAGTCAAAAGTATTGACACTAGTCTGATAGACTCAATATTTTCGAAATACATCATTATTTGACCCCAATGATCTAATGACCGATAATGGTCATTACAGTAGAATTAGTAGATCATTGTTAAATTTAACAGCTATCTGAATTGTTAAATAATACCATATTATCGGGGTTGCATTCTCTAGTCGTATGTTTGTAGATGAGTAATAGAGTAATATTATTGCCACTTTAATTCATAAGACGACTGAAATAAAGTATAAAAACATTATAGTGTAATTGGACGAGGCTTGTAACACAAAAATTCTACCGTCTTCATTAGAAAATTTTTATTTTTACATAAGCTCATTATATTCTAGTAAATTTACTAATTCATATTGAGTGAATTTATGGTTAAAATGTAGGATAATCAATAGATTAATTATTAAATTATGCGCTTAGCGTATTCTCTCAAATCAAGTGCAGGTAAGCTAAATTCAGATCTTGGGTGCCGACACCTGCTGCCGCCAGCCTAATTACTATAGTGCAGTTCAGAAACCTGTTCGCCGGCTACACGATACGGAGATGTGGAAGTGAGCTGCAGAGGACTAGCAAACTTTTGAAAAGTACGAGCTTATCCATCTTACGTACGTTTACAGACGCTTGACTGGTTAGAGAAAGAGTGCATATGTTGTGGTGTTTTGTTAGAGGTGTGAGATTGCGCTATGTAAGTTCAATGTTTGCTGAACTATGCTCATTCATTTAACCCTTGATTGCGTATCACAAATGATACAAACCAATTTTTTTATATACAAACCTACTTTTGCCTGTAAATGCTAAGATAATCAGGCTACTTACCTGCAGCACTCCTTGTATCAAATACGATACATACAAAGTCAAACGAGAAAGTTAAGTGTTGCCTCGGTGTTGCGCGGCTCGGTAAAAGTGAGCGACAAGACGTTTAAATGTGTGCACTTCATGGTTATAACACGCGGTTGGATTTACGTCACAATAAGTATATAGACTTAATCATAAACTGCTTGCTATTGGCAGCTATTAATGCAAGCTGCGCTGGTGGCTGCTATATTCTATTTAGGAGGAAAATTTATCTACTTCGGCTGGGTTTATGTGCCTATCTAAGCCTGTTCCTGAAGCCTTCATTTTAGTGCGAGCTACTAGAGAAGCAGGCGAACGAAATGAAGATGAAGGTAGTGCTGAAAGTTGAAAGTAATTGTGGCTGCTGTTCTTCACACATCTTGTCTAATGGCGAATATGATTGTGCTCATCAACCGAGTTATAGCAATTCACAGCAGCAACCAAACCATCTCAACTTTCATGAAGACTTCATCTTCGGAATTCAAGAATGTGTCTGCTGTAATCAGCCTTGGCCGAAAAGCGAATGGTGCAAGCAGCGAATTAAACGGTGAGTAACTGCCTGTCAATAGCAGTTCAGTCTCATTCTTTAAACAACGGAAGCTTGCTTCATTGACCTCATAGTTTAAACTGAATTTACGTACATATTGTGTGCAGTTTTGCTGATATATTTTATGATAAATATAATGAGCTCTCTGCCTCTCGCTGGATATGAACTTGAAAGGAAATAGTTCACGTTCAGCAGCTTTCTCTTCCTGTTACCTTTGCTAACTGCCATAATACAACTGAAATCTCTAATAGCTTGCTAGCGCTAATTGGTTTCTAATTATTTCTTCAAAATTTTTACTTTATCCAGCGTTTCTGATCTACCTAGATGCATGATGAGTGTTATTATATTATTAATTGCACTCAACCTCCCGCCCTAACTCGCAAGCGCCGTCCTGCGGTCTGATCACTCAGATGTGTTTTTTATTTACATAGCTGCAGATCTCGTAAATATCTGCACTGAGTTTGAAATAATTGGCAATTACAAAGTTCAAGGATTCCTATTGGGTGACACTGCAGCTATGAACTATATTAGAAACATAAATATTTATATACATGCATAATAATACAGCTGCGCCACAAGCTTTTATTTTAGCACACCCACGATTATACTTTCTGTGTATCAATTTTCTTCCTTCCACGCGATCAGAAAATATTTTTTGGCGTACCTCTTTAAAAGAGCTATTGCGGCTAATATATTTGGGAAAATCGCTTTGAAAGCGGCCGTCCAATAATTGAAATTGTTTGTGTCAATAAACTTTTTTATTAATCTGTTTGACTTGAAAATATTTATATTTAGAGTCTTCTTGCAATTCATTGATTTTGATCATAAGGTGGCTTATGATCAAATTATCCGTACAAGGATATTATCCGTATTCCGTAGTCCGTACAATATAATTCCAGGCTTGAAGGGCAAGTCCTATGAAGAAAGATTAAAGATTATGAAGCTTCCAAGCCTCAGTTATCGACGTCTGCGTGGGGACCTCATTAAAGTATACAAGTATATATACTCATGGTTTATACAAGGTCCCTGAAGGATTACTAGAATTTGAAACAATAACCGACACTAGGGGCCACGGCTATGAAAGAAAAAACTGCGCTGCAACTTATCCAAGCTTTAACATTTGTTCTCGCTCCGAATCACCGACATGTGGAACAGCCTCCCCGATGACATCGTTGGCGCTCCAAGTATGAACGAGTTCAAGAACGGACTAGATAAAACTATGGAAAAATATATGTTCAGACTTAAAATGTCTAGCATCATATCGAACCCGGTGGAAGTCTAGTAGCTACTTCAAACTATCGTCAGTCATGAAAAGATCTGGTCAAATGACACGATTTTAGATCTTCTGTGAACAAGGCACGAAAAGGAAAAGAATCGGCGACAGGCCACATCAGGCCTACACTTCAGCGCCAACATCACTATGTTATGTTATGTATTAATCTCACGAATTTGCAATTCGTCGGTCCGAAATTTGGAAATTCTTACTCTAAAAATATTTAAATGTGTTGGTCATGGTCATTATG